TTTACGGCTTACTGGAAAACAATATTTTCACTGACCGGCGTCCATCTTCGATAGCTTGTATGTTCAAAAAAATCCGCTCGAATTTGACCAATATGAATGATGTAATTAAGGTTCAATTTAGTTTGCGTACTATCCGTAAAGAAAAATGTGTGTGGTTGCAACATTTATTGTGCGACTCACTTTACTTTTGACAAGTAAAAATATCGTAATTAGCAAAGAGTATAAGGTTAGAAACAACACTAATTATTAAACTAATAATTGTTCCAAAATGGAATAACTTCACAGTGAAATTGGAGTTGACATTAAAATTAGTATTTATCCTTTATTTTTAGGTATTAATTGCATTATTATTTTATGCGACTGGATCATATCAAAGACCTACACGAGATATTGCTGCACATTCAGTTGGTCAACAAACAGTGTCTGCTGTTAAAGTACGCGTCACTTAAAAAGAACGCTGGCGGTCAAGCTGCGCACTAGGCTATATCGATGTATTTGGTGGTATGAGGTGCGGCGCGGGGCGGGCGGGTCACCTGCCGCATGCTTGCCGGTGTGCTACTGGTTCGTCAGTCGACCTTTGCTTTCCGCGCCGGGTTCACATTACGTTCGTTTTCAAAATACCATCGCGCACAAAAGTTTTAATTACAAAATGGTTTTACATAGAAAAGTGAGAAAAATGATTTATGACGTATATTGTTTTATGAAGAGAGGCTGATAATAATGCAGTTGATAATTTGAAACAATGCATGAAACGGACCGCAGAGGCAACAAAATGTTCCGAGTCTACAGTGAGACGAATTGTAAAAGGTTCAAAACATTAAGAATTTCTTACTATCTTCCGAACTCCAGGCAAAAATAAAAGAGTTAAACAATCACCAATAACAGACATTGACAGCTTTGACCAGGGTGTTATAAAAAGAATCATCCACAATTTCCACGTCCTGAAAAAGAATTAGGAAATTACAGGATGACCTACATTTCCAAGGATCTGCAGCAAGTCTCAGGCAAATAATAAAAAAAATAGGTTTTAAGTGGAAAAAAACAAAAGCAATAGAAAAATTTTAATTGAGCAGTCACAAATTCGATTTCAAAGAATTGAATATCTGAGAAAGATAAAAAAATATAGATAGGAAGGAAGACCTATCCATACACTGATGAATCATACGTCGATAGTTCCCATGGGTCTCACCATTCTTCGACAGACCATACACTGATGAATCATACGTCGATAGTTCCCATGGGTCTCACCATTCTTCGACAGACCATACACTGATGAATCATACGTCGATAGTTCCCATGGGTCTCACCATTCTTCGACAGACGGTCCCACCACGGGCATTAAAAACTATTCCGGACGGCCACCGCTCAGGTTTCGGCCACCACGTGCGATTTTTAGACTTCTTACGTTGAAACGTGGCAGCTCGAGTATAGCCGCAGTGGCTGTCGCGGAACGGGTGCTGGGATTGCTTCGGGGAAAATAACGAAGACTCAATATGGCGTTCACACGATCCTCGTGGCTTGACCGGCTCGCTGTCTCGAACTGAATTTTGCAGCGAGGTAGGCCCTCTATTTATGGCAACCCACGCGCGCTCGTCTAGTACTGTGATAAATTCGAGGCGCGGTGGGTGTCTATTGTTCTCTTGGCCGCCTCGCTCGTTCTATTGTTTGCCTAGTCGCTCTATTAGTGCTCGCTCTATTGTGACTCGTTCCCACGCCAAATCAAAGACCACGAGGACCAATTTTTATTTACAAAATGAATATTTACAATCTTACTTATTTCTATGTTTTAGCCTTTTTTTATTGCCTTTGTAGGCAGACGAGCAAAAGGCCCACCTGATGGTGAGTGGTTACCGTCGCCCATGGACTTCAGCAATGCCAGGGGCAGAGCCAAGCCGCTGCCATTTTAATTTTAATTTGTTCTTAACTATTCCTATTCTAATTTCCCTGTCCTTTGCGAACGTATTTTCTATGGACTTATTTTACAACTATTTTTAACATAACTATTTATTTCTAACATATTTATTTTTAACTATTCTAATGATTATGTCCGTCGCGAACATCCTCCCGCCGTGTAGCGCCGTTCACGTCGCTGCATCCTCCTTGGTGAGCGGCGGACCTCGTGGGCAGCACGATGATTTTCTTCGCCGGGCGTCTCAGGATACCGCCGGCGGTGCGCACGTTGACCACTCGGGTGATGCCGTCGGCCCCCGAGTAAACCTCCTCGATGATCCCGCGTGGCCAAGTGTTCCGTGGGAGCGTTCCGTCCGCAATGATTACGACGTCGCCTATCTTCAGGGCGGCCCCGCGGCTGTGGGGCTCCCGCCACTTCTGCAGGTCGGGCAGGTACTTCCGGAGCCAGACTCCAGAACACGTCTGCCAGAGGTTGAGCTGCGCGCCAGTGTGCGCGCCCTATAAGGTCGGCGTCGTCAAACTTGCCCGGCACGGGGACTCGCGCCGGACCTCCCAGCAGGAAGTGGTTCGGTGCCAGAGGCAGCAGGAAGTGGTTCGGTGCCAGAGGGTCGTGGTCGTCGGCGCTCACCGATACGTGGGTGAGAGGTCGGCTGTTTACTGTGAACTCTGCCTCTGCTAGCAGAGTGTGAAAGATTTCGGGCGTCGGGTGCCTCGGCTGTTCCGTGGCCGAGAGCGCGGCCTTTACTGCCCGCACCATTCTTTCCCATGCGCCGCCCATGAAGGGCGCGCCCGGTGGGATGAAGCGCCACTGGATGAATCTTGAGCTCGCCTCGTGCTCGGTGGCCTTCTCCAAGGCTTGGCGCAGCTCCTCGGCACCCCGTAAGTTGGTGCCGTTATCGCTCCATATTTCCGTTGAGGCTCCCCGGCGCGCAATTATGCGCCCGAGCGCCATCACCGCTGAGTCACTGCTGAGGGTCGCTGCCGGTTCCAGATGTCCGCACGCGTCGTGAGACACGTGCAGATAGCCACGTAGTGCTTTTGTGTGCTTCTGCCGGTGGTGACTTGATAGGGCCCGAAGTAGTCGAGGCCTACGTACGTGAACGGTCGCCGATGGTGTGCCAGTCTGCTCGGTGGGTGGTCGCCCGTGGCTTGACACGGTGGTGTGTCCTTGCGGATACGACACGGGAGACAATTGTGTATCACGCTCCGTGTCACTGGACGTAAGCGTAAGACCCAGTACGACTGTCGGCAGTAGCTTCGGTTCCGGCGTGGTGCATCTTCCTATGGACGAAGTCTATTAGAAGCCTCGTTTCGTGGCGGGATCCGTCTAGCACGAGGGACGAGGTGATGCGTCAGCTCCTTCGATGTTACCGATGCGTCCGTTTATTCTGAGCATTCCGTCCGTGTATGTTACGGACAAGCTTCGCAATCGGCTCGCTGGGGATACTTGCTTCCCTCGTTGGAGCGCCAAAATCTCCTCTTCGAAGGCTGCCCGCTGGCTTAGACGCCAAATGAGCATCTCGGCGCGTCGTTGTGTGTCGGCGTCCAAGGTTCTATATTGAATGACCGCGTGCTTTGGCGTCCGCGGTGTGTTCAGCGGTGTCTTCGAAGTCATTTTCTTAATATTTTTCTCCCACGTCGGATCCGAGCGCGGGTTCCGTCTGGTCCTCTTATAATAAGTGCGGTCACGACTCCTGCGGCATAGGTCGACGAATTGCACTATTCGCCCCGTTGCACGCAGGTACTTCTCCCACTTGGAAAAGCGTCTTGGGTCCGGGATTGCTTCGCCGAGGCTCTCTCTGCTCACGGCGAGCGCTGCGCACTTTTCTTCGCCCGTAGCTTCTGCTCTTCTTGCAGTCCGTTGTACGGGCCAATCATCCGGATGCCGTCTTAGGTATTCCGGGCCTATGAACCAGCGGTGGTTTCCTTCAAAGCCGACGGATATTTCCCTTGTGGCGTCGTCGGCGACATTTTGTCTGATGGGGACCCAGCGCCATTCCTCCACAGTGCTGTTCTCCTCTATCGCTGCAATGCGGTGAGCGACGATCGGTCGATACGACCTCGATCCCGTTCGTAGCCAAGTCAGCACGGTGGCGCTGTCGGTCCAGAACACTCTCGCGTCTGGTTTTCAGTCGTGTTCTTCTGTGACAGCCGCGGCCATGTGGCTGCCCATTACGGCGGCTATCGAGGTGAGTTTCAGGGGCGCGACTCGGGCTTTAGTGAATACGAGGGAGGTCCTGATCTCCCCGTCGGGCATTTATTTCGGCGCGCCAGTATAACGCGGCGGCGTAGGCGGACTCACTGGCGTATGTGTGGAGCTGGAGGTCGGCGGCGTCTGAGTAGCCGGGATAGCAGCGCGGCACTGAGACTTCGCGCAGGCGTCTTAAGTGGTCGATCCACTCTCTCCACATCGCGCAGAGGTCTTTGTCGAGGGTGGAGTCCCACGCCGTCCCTCGGCGCCACGTTTCTTGCAGGGTTTTCTTCGCTCCGACAGTGACTGGCGATGCGATGCCTTGGGGATCGTAGACGGACATCATTATGCGCAAAGCCTGTCTTTTCGTAGGCGCGCTGCTCTCCAACACTTCTTTTGAGATTCGCGCCATGTCCAGGTTGAAGGCGAGGACGTCTTCAGCAGGTCTCCACATCAGGCCAAGCACTCGTTCTATTTCAGTTCCATCGGACAGCGTCACACTTGTAGGTGGGGTTTCGTCGGTCATGTGGCACCGTACCTTCTCACTGTTCGAGGTCCATTTGCGCAATTCAAAATGGCCTTGCCGGTGTACTTCCCTTACCTCGTTTGCGATCCTGATCGCGTCTTTGCTTGTCCGGTAACTTCCAAGGTAATCGTCCATGCAGTGGTTACGCACGATTGCGTCGGCGGCGTCCGGGTACTGCAGTCGGTATTTCTCTGCGTTGGCGTTCTTCACATAGATGGCGGTCGCCGGCGTGACAAGCCGAAGATTATGGATCTCATCCGGTACTTTGTAGGCTCTTGTAAAGGGTCCTCCCTCCACAAGTACCGGAGCGCGTCGCGGTCCTCGCCTCGGACGCCTATTTGCATGAACATCTCCACGATGTCCGCTGAGACGGCGACGGCGTGCTACCTGAAGCGCATCATTACTCCAGGCAGCGACTGCAGCAGGTCCGGGCCGGTGAGCAGGAAGTCGTTCAGACTCTTCCCTCTGGTCTTCGCAGCGGCGTCGTGCACGATGCGAATCTTCTCCGGTTTCATTGGATGCGTCACGCCGAAGTGTGGCAGGTACCAGGTTCGGTCCTTCGTACCCGTCGACGAAGCTACTTCGGCGTATCCCTTCGCTACCAGTGCGTTCATATGTTGCCTGTAGCGCTCTTTCAAAGATCATTGGGCGTTTTTTACCCGCTTTTTTTAAAGTCGCGAACATAAACCAAAACACTTTTAAATCATAGTGCTTCCAATCATATTTAATATTATGTGGTTATTTTAATTCATAACAATGGGAAAATGGAAATAAAAGTAAAATGAAATTCATATTTTAAGTTGACTATTTGTCCTAATTACTAAATATCTGTACCTCAGAGGTAAACAATAGTAACTCCACATTTTGTCGAAATTACGTTTATTATACCATTAAAATCGCAAGAAACAGTTCTACAGAATGGTATAAAGAATTAAGTCCTACGTCGCCTCTAAAAAGAGATATACAATGGTATATAACATTACTTGCACAAATATTAACAGGGTATAGGATCTCAAATGATGTTGATATTTTTTGCCTCTAAGCACAGCGCGACGTTAATACCGTTCATTGGACATAATGTTCTATACCTCTAAACGAAACGCGGCGCGCTAGGCACACGTGACGTAATATAGGTACCGATCTCCGGTTAGTGCGTGCGCTGCCTTTGCTTTGAGCGTATAAAATAACGCAATTAATTATATAAAAGTGCAAAAATAATATGTTTTCACGTGGAAAATTATTATGTAATCTTGCAATTGCTGGAGAACAGCGTAATGAAACTCCTGAATATGGTAAGTGCTCTTATTATTGCTTTAGTTAAAAATTAATGAGAGGTAAACAATAATATCTCATGTAGACAGACATATTAATATATTAATGTCGCGTTATAAGTAACTTTTTCCAATATCATGAACATACTGGGTAAATAATAGAAATGTAAACAAGTAGTAATTGCATGCTTATCGTATAAACTGAGTGGCGAGCCCTCTTTCGTATGACCCACTATTCTTTTCTTCCAGCAAATTTTAATCCAACCCATGATAGTGCTCAGTAGATGTTAATGCCTCTCACCGTCAATCTTCTGAGGACTGACCGGGCCGAACGTTGTTTATTTTCAGTGGTTGATCCGAACGAATGCTTCAGTAATAATTACTTATACAATTTTGTTTTGTTGTTTTTCTAGAGCCCCGGAGAAAGCATCAACAAGTACTTGAATGCCACGATTCACCCAAAATGTTATCGTCAAGGCCTTACAAAGACCTTGATGTGCATTCGGATCCATCTAAAAAACTACATTTAGATAATTTTGATACACAATTATCCCCCTCCGCTTTATTTACTGATATCTCAAACAAGCAACATGAAAAAGATTTTAACATAGAACCCTACGGAGAAGATCTGCATACCCTGGAATGGAATTCCGCCGAAAGTTTATTTGCAAGACCTTGCCTAGAACTTAACGTACTTTCGGCTTCATCTCAAGAAATGTATACGGTCGGTGTTGCTACTGATAATGGATCCCAACCGTCAACCACTGTTTTGCTTACTGATATTTCAAAAAATTTCGTTAGATCTACAAGCTTTCAAAATAAAGGTACAGATAAGTTTATGAGCTTTGAGGAAGATTTTTCACCATCAGATGAAGTATATATACCAGACACCGATGAAGACGCTACAGAGTGCGAATTTGTTGGAAAAAGACAGGTAACTATACCAGAAACAAGTAGCTCATCCATCGAAGATGTAGAAAACATGATAGACAACAAAGAAACCCAATTACTCAACACTAATTCTTCGGAAATTCAGTCAGAGTCATCGCATTATATTTCAACAAAAACAAACAGTCGTAAAAGAACTAGAAATATATCTGATTGGAAATGCAATATAAGAAAGCAAAGCATATTATCAGGAAAAGCATATACATCTAAAAAAGGAAAATTTGTTCCGGAAAAGAAAATTAAACCAGTATGTGCTTGCAGGCTAAAATGTAATGAACGCATAAGTGAAAATGTTAGAACAACAATTTATCAAAAATACTACGCCGAAGACATGACGTGGGATCGGAAAAGACAATTTATTATATCTAGAGTCTCAGAAGCTCCGACTGCTAGATCTAGAAGACGTGATCCTGACCAACTACCCAAAAGAGCTTACACTTTACATTACACATTTTTGATTAATGAGAAAGTGGAAAAGGTATGCAAGAAGTTCTTTTTGAATACCTTAGCTATATCGGAAACTGTTGTACGAAACGCTGTGAAAAAATCTACAAATGGATTTGTTCAAGCAGATAGACGAGGAAGGCATGAACCGTCTAATAAAATAGCTGAAATAGTAAAAGAAACAGTTCGAAAACACATTGATAATGTGCCAAAATATGAGAGTCATTACAGTCGAAGTAGAACTGAAAGACTGTATCTGGGAAACCATCTAAATATTGATAAACTATACTCCTTGTATGTAGAGTTCTGTGCTGAACAGAATTTACCGAAGGAGAACATTGCAAAAGCGTGGCTCTACAGGCATATTTTTAATACGGAGTATAACCTAGGTTTTAATCCTCCTGCTAATGACACTTGTGATGATTGCGATGCCTTTGTAATCAAATTAAAAAATACAACAAATGAAACTGAAAGGGATAATATTAAAGCTGAACACGATATACATCTCCAGGAAAGCAATCTGCGCTATACTCTAAAAGGCTTTGACAAAGTTGAAGCGATAGAAAGCCATGGTGCCAAAAAAATTCTAACTGTAGATCTCCAAAAATGTTTACCAACACCCTATTTGACTAATAGCCAAAGTTTCTATCACAGGAAGCTGTGGACATTTAACTTTACGATTATGGACTCAGCTCCAAAAGAAAGCTGGTGTTTCATGTGGGACGAAACCGTGGCGGGTCGAGGTGGAAATGAAATGGCATCAGGAATAGTAAAATTTTTTGAACAGACCGACGATAGTGCATTGAAAGAAGTAACCTTATGGAGCGATAATTGTGCGGGGCAGAATAAGAATGTTTACTTGATGATGGCTTACTTCTGGATATTAACTCAAAAAGAGCATTTGCAAATAATAAACCACAAGTATTTACTAAAAGGGCACACTCACATGGAAGTGGATGTGATCCACTCAATAATAGAACGAGAAAAGAAAAAGATCCAAGAGTTTCCCATTGTTACTCCCTGGGATTGGCAGCAGTTTATTAAGAGCTGTTCAAGAAATAATAAAATTAAAGTGATTAATATGGAAACCGATCACTTTAAGGATTTTTCTGCTTTTTGTGAAGGATCATCAGCTCCTTTTGTTCACAGAAAAAAATCGAATGCAGGAGAAACTGTGCCTTATTCGGGTATAGTGTGGATGCAGTTCCGAAAAAATGAGATGGGTTCAATGTTCTATAAAACTTCTTTTGACCAGGAAACATTCGAACAAGTCAGTTTTATTCGAAACAAACGAAGAGCATTTTCAATCCCCACGCCGAAACCTATTCGAGAAACTCGAAAACCCATTTCAAAACTGAAATACAACGACTTACAAAAGTCATTGCGGTGGATTCCCTCCATGTTTCATGAATATTATAAGAATCTTCCATGTGCGGAAGTTCCTGACTTGCCTGAGGCCTGCGAGTGAGCTGTTAGTTTCCTACAAATAATCAGATAAATAAATATTTCAATTTCTTAGCACAGACTTATTACTTTTATTATATAAAATAAATCCTCCTGCCTCCTTCGCCCCCTTCAAAATTGTTTTCCGGTATTTTTGTATTACCTCATAATATTGTATACCTCTAAGAAATACATTTTTTTTTTGAAGGTATATAGCCTTAAGTCCATAGAATTAGATAATAGATAGATTTATCGTAATTATTTGTAATTCATGGTACTTTCCTCTATTTATTATAAAAAATACAGCTAAGTTAATTACTCTGCCTCTATTATAACTCTCTCAAAATTACATTCGAAATTTCACGACGCGCATTTTTGCCTCTCCTGTAAAATTTGACTTTAGGCTCTTAATGTTGTATGCCTCTGAGGTACAGATATGACCGCTCAGTAAGTTAAAATATCACTCCGTGGTATTTTCGTAAAGTCAACCTGACTGATATCCGATAAGTGGGTGTGCATGTTGCGTTCTCTTTCTCGCCCATTGTCGTAAAACAGGTTTGGTTGCGCTCGCGCAGGTAGCTAGCTTATCTTACTACAACGCAGTCCTTCGTCATCCGTCGTAGCGATCTGTGTTTTACTGTGTTCCCATTGTGTTCTGAGTCTACTAATTACCTACTGCTTGTTTACTGGATTTTGTTTGCCTTCGTGTTGGATTTGGCTGTGAAATGGAACGACGAAATAGTTGTGTGTCGTGTGAGCGATCTGTTCTACGTCGTAGAAGACATCGTCTTACACAAATGTTTTTAGAAAGATATCATGACTATGCAGTACTATTATTACAAGAAATAATGCCACGGGAGGTAAGTTTCTCAATATTTATTATATATATTAAACATTCCTGTTATATACATCCTGTAACAAAAGCTAGGCAGCTATTTTTTCTTTCGGGATTTCCATATTGGTTCCATAGAAAAAGTTGTTTATGACGGTTAGAATGCCCCCTAAAATATTACTACACTACATTGTATGAATAAGTACTCACAGCCACGTCAGCCAGCTGTGACGTCATACCAGTCCTTTTCAACCATTGAAACTGTTCATTCCTTGGTCATAGTGTATTTCGTTGTGACCTTTATTATTATGATTATCAATTAATAACCGTAAAATAAACTTGTTACAGATTGCTTTTGATGGAACACTATCAATATGCAACCCTTGCTGGCTGAGATTTTATCGCGCAGTGCAAGTCCGGCCAGTAGACGATCCATTACCTCAGCAAGTTCAAGAACCATTACCCCAGCAAGTACAAGAAGAGGAAGTCCAAGAAATAGTAGTTGACGTTCAACAACAACAAGACATAGGTCTTATGACTATTCCTGGATATTTGCGTGTATCTAATACTGCTCGACGCTGTGTTTTTCAAAACTGCAGAAACGTACCAGCAAATGCTGTGCCAAAATATGTCAGGTTACATTTTTTTCGTATTAATAAGCTATTCATACCAAAACTTGCTCGAGTTTGCCAACCCCATATGATAAACAATGAATGGGAAGATCTACTTAATGAGCAAATACCTCTTCATGAAAACTTTAATAGTGCTCATGTTCTCGATATTATCGAGCTGTATGAATGGAGATTGGAACGAGGAACTCAGTTGGACTTCGAAAATGTTGAGGAGATAGATGACAATGAACTACATTTTTATACGGGTATGGATAAAATTCAATTCAATAATATTTTGAATCAAACATCTTCTCTACGTGATAGAACCAACAGTTCTGCTACTGTTTTGGGACTGTATTTAGTTAAAATAAGAACAGGTGAACCAGACGAGCGTATAGCTTCTATGTTTAATATGTCGAGAAGAACATTGGAACGAAAACTAAAAATAGCTCGAGAATGTTTATCTGAAGAGTTTGTTCCCCGCCATCTGGGTTTGGATCACATGACGAGAGAAGATGTAGTAGCTCGCAACTTAACCATCCCGAGTCATATTTTTGGAGGTAACCAGAATGAACCTGCGGCCATTCTTGTGTGTGATGGAACATACATATACGTGCAAAAAAGCTCCAACTTCCTTTTTCAGAGAAGAACGTATAGCCTGCACAAATTCCGCAACTTAATAAAACCCTTTTTAATTGTATGCACAGACGGCTATATTGTAGACGTATTAGGCCCGTATCCAGCTATTACTACGGATGCCGAAATAATGCGTCACATGATGGAGGAGGAAGTTTGGTATTGGTTTCTGAACGCCAACGATATTTTCATATTGGACCGCGGCTTTAGAGACTCTATCCCTGCCATCGAAGAGCATGGATATGATGCACATATGCCGCCAACAAGGACGAGAGGAGAGCAGTTGAGCACAGTAGATGCAAATAAATCACGTCTAATCACTATGTGTCGTTGGGTGGTAGAGACTATTAATGGTCGCTTTAAAAAAGACTTCAAAATATTCCGCCATGTTTATTTTAATGTAGCGCTTACAAATATGATGACTGATTTTAAAATAACTGCAGCACTTATCAATGCCACTTATCAGCCATATAGAGATAACGCTCATGCCGCAGAGTTTATAAATATAATAAATGAGAATATAAATAGAGAAAATGAATTGGCTGATTACGTGATTCGAAACAACTTAAACAGGCAAAGAGTTGCATTCACGCCGATAGAGGCAAACAATCCCGAATTAAGAGATTTTCCACAATTAACTTACGACGAGCTATTTTTATTTACCTTGGGAATATACCATTTGAAATTGGCCAAATCTTATTGCCATGAACACATGCGGCCAAACGGAGTGTATATAATGGAATTATACCATCGCAGAGAGTTGGTAGAAAATAAAATATTAATACGAGGCAGAATACAGTCTCGTCACATAAGAGCAAAACGCTATTATACATATATACTAATAAATCCGGCATTGCAAGGAAGACAAAGCCTCGAAGGGTATTACTGTTCCTGTATACACGGCCGCCGCACTGTAGGGAGTTGCGCGCACATCGCCAGTGTGGTATACTTTTTATCTTGGGCTATATATCAAGAAGAATTTCACGCACCTGCGGCGTTTTTAGACGAAACTCTTGTAGATTTGGATGCGGCAGAATAAAAGTAAAGAGAAAAACATGTTTTTTTTATTCCTTTTTTCCTCTTGAATTATTGCACAAAAAAGTAAAAAAAAAAATATTTTTTTAATGTCCAGTTTCTCCTTATTCCCACGGCTCACAGATATGGGACCTATACCATTGTAAACTAGATTCAATTGCCTATCCACCAGACCTAATTTCATTTTTGTTCGCTGTAGGTAAGTGTCCCATACAAAGGTGCCCGATGTCATTTGGATCCTTCTCCAGTTTCTTCTCCACGGACGTGAGGCGATTTAATGCTTCAAAGTTGTTGGGTATCTTTGAGTTCTCTTCACGCCACAGCAGTGCGGTCTCGTAACGGCTGTCGGGTCGTTGCTGGGTGGAATCCCGAAGAATCTTCAGCGCGCGCTCGTCTGGATCGTTCTTCGGCGTCTTGGCGGCGACGGTGAGTCCCTCGATCGCGAAATAGTGTTTGAGGGCTTCGTCCATGTTTGTGTCAACCGTCGTCGCGTGAGCCACGAAGTTGACGCGCTGTCTCCTGCCTCCCGGGTGTGCTCCGTGCAAGACCCACCCGAGTGGAGTACGAGACGCCACCGGTTGATCGCGTCGTCCCGTCCGCATCTCCTCCGTCACCAGCAGGTGCCAGTTGTCTTGGCCGATCAGAATCTTCGGCGAGGCGTAGCTCGTTTTTAAGTGATGCCGGAGGTCGGTGAGGTGATGGCACGACGCGAGGACTTCGTTGTTCAGTCGCTGTGGTGTCAACTTCAAGCCGTTGACTGTCCGTAGGTGTAATTCTTGCGGTTCCCCCGTGCGTCCGCATAAATTCAGCGGGACGCGTCGTGAGCGTGTTGCGTCTATTGTTGTCCCCGATGGCAGTGATGAAGAGAGGTTCGACCGGTCCTTTCGCGCCGACTCGTCTCGCGAAGTCATCGTCGATCAACGAGATGGTTGACCCGTCATCCAACAGAACCCACGTATCCGCTTCTCCCGCCGGTCCGATGACAGTGATTGGCGCCATCTTGAGTTAGGCTGTCGCTGCTGTCTCGGACCGTGTGAGCACCATTTCTTCTATCTTAAATTTTCTTCGGTCTTCCCCAAACGAATCCGGCTCTCGAAGGACCAATATTTCGGACGGCTACCGCTCAGGTTTCGGCCACCACGTGTGATTTTTAGACTTCTTACGTTGAAACGTGGCAGCTCGAGTATTGCCGCAGTGGCTGTCGCGGAACGGGTGCTGGGATTGCTTCGGGGAAAATAACGAAGGCTCAGTATGGCGTTCACACGGTCCTCGTGGCTTGACCGGCGCAGGGCGTAGGCGCGAGTCTCTTCTTGTTTGTTCTTCTCCCGGAGAGGTCTTGACTCGTCGGCGCGCTGTCTCCAACTGAATTTTGCAGCGAGGTAGGCCCTCTGTTTATGGCAACCCACGCGCGCTCGTCTAGTACTGTGATAAATTCGAGGCGCGGTGGGTGTCTATTGTTCTCTTGGCCGCCTCGCTCGCTCTATTGTTTGCCCAGTCGCTCTATTAAGGTTTATGATTATTTATATTAATATGATTATATAGAGTCCTATAGATATTAAGAATTATTATTAAATATGAGGTTTGTATTGCAAAACATTTAAATATTATTGTTTATTAGTTGCTCAATTAACTGCTTTTAAAGTCACGTGACTAAGCCACGTAACCAGTCAAGAGGGGATAGCCGGCTGAGACTTATTTAAAAGAGAATGCAGCACAGGGCGCCAAATCGTCGGTGCGCCCAGTCACGGCCGGAGTTCCCCAGGGAAGCGTCCTGGCTCCAGTCCTCTACGCTCTCTTTACCAATGACATTCCCACGCTCGAGGGCAACCTCCAAGCGTGGGAAGCCGATGTGAAGTTGGCGCTGTTTGCCGACGACAGCGCCTACTTCGCGTCATCGAACTTCCCCTCAGCGGTCATCTCGAGGATCCAGAGGTTGTTGGACTTGCTACCCCAGTGGCTGGACCGATGGAGGGTCGCGGTCAACGTGGGGAAGACCGCGGCAATTCTTTTCGGTCCGGTCCGTACAAGTCGTCCCGGGACAGCTCAGTCTCCGTGGATTCAATGTCGAGTTTGGATCCCGCGTCCGGTATCTGGGGGTCAATATCGACCGGAGTTTGAGGATGACCGCCCACGCCATGTCGGCGTTGGCGGCCGCTCGCAATGCGAGGTATCTCCTCCGGCCGGTGTTGTTCTCCAGACTTCCGGTCAGGACCAAGCTCGGCATTTACAAGACGTATGTCCATTCCCGTATCACGTACGCAGCTGCGGCCTGGTATCACCTTATCCCACAGAGTATGCGGGAGGGGTTGCAGGCCCAGCAAAATCTGGCTCTTCGCGCGATACTAGGAGCAGGCCGTTACGTCAGAAATGACGTAATAGCCCGGGATCTAGATGTGGAGTTGCTCGAGGAGTTCATCCGGAGGCTAACTCGTAATCTTTACGAGCGGGCTGACGATGGACCCCACGAGCACCTCCGCAATTTAGCTCCCTTGCACGCCAGACCACCTGATGGTCGGGCGCTACCAAGGGAGCTACTTGAACCCCCTGCTATGGCAAGATAGTCGGCTTAACCGGAGTGATATGGGAGTGCTCATAATGAGTGCCCCCATGAGGAGTAAGCTGTCCACACTCATCATTCCCCCCACATTGTTGGGTGCTCCCTTATGGGGACCCTTTAAGGGAGCACCCAACAACCACCCCCGTGGGTGGGCCCCTCCCCCGTCAGGGGAGTGGTTCTTTCATGTCGGTCCTCCTCGCTTTAGTCTTCCCCTTATGGGGAGATTCTGCGGGTGAGCGTCAAACCCCGCGGCTCCCCCTCTGTTTTGTAGAGGAGGGGCCGCGGCATGGGACCGGTGGCGGGCCCCGGATTAGTTGCTGACTGTTGTCCAGGCTTGTAAATAATGTATAGTTAGTTAGTAGTTAGTGTAGTTAGATTGTAAGGAAAAAAAAAAACGAAGCAGAGGACAGCAGCCGGCGCCGGGGTGCGTCGTCCACGGGCATCGCTCCTCCTGCAACATCAAGCCCATCGTATTACATATATGTATATATTTTTTGTCGATGTGAGTGTGCCGAGCACGCTGCGAACAGCCCCCCCCCCTTAATCCCGTCTTGCATCCATTCCACCCCTGCCCTGTGTGGCAGGGAGCTTCGTTCCGGGCAATGGGGTCTACCCCGAGGCCCGTTTCGTGCCCCCGTAAGGGAGCAGGACGACCCCGAGTAGTAGTCAGAGCACAGCATTCATTGATTTCATTTTCGATTCGGGTTTCACCAGTGCTCTGAGGAACATTACCGTAGTCGTGCTGTGCGGAAAAGTGCATCCCAGTGCCAGTGTGATTGATCCAGTTCGTTGTCCCGGTGCGGAGACGTGCCGGCCAACAAGAACAAGGACCCGGGAACAGGTAAGTGGATCGACACTTCTTTCTTTAAACACCAGTTTAATACGGGTAGGTGTCGACCAGCCTGTGAAAGCTGCGTCGCCGTTTTATTTGAATATAAAATCGGCGAACGTTAGCGCTACTGAGTCTGGCCTCCCTGTGTCACTCCCAGTCCTCTCCTACCCTTCGGGGTTAGGCGGGGCGGTCGCTAAGCCCGGTTAATTGGTCTAGACATAAGGTTGATGGCGCCGGAACCCCTGTAATACCAGTTTTAGTAAATTTAGTGAAATTTAGAATAGCTTAGATTAGCCTCATTATTATTTCATACATTTAGATTAAATTAACTTAGTCCTTGTAAAATAGTATTGTGTAATAAGTGGCGCTGCTGTAGCTAGTTTTAGCTTTTTAATTTTTTTTTTCTTTTTTTCACAACTACCCACATTTATTAAAACTTTTTAAGCATTTCAATTTTACGTAGAATTGAATTCTGGTATACCGGCCGACTTTATTAAGTATTCACTTATTAGATTTAGTTAATTTTACTTACCTAGTTTCCTTGTTATTTGTAGTTTTAGTGGGGTGCTGGCCTACCAGCACCCCACTAAAACACACACCCTAGTGTTCCCGCTATCACCTTTGTTTATAGGTTTTACAAGTGTTATTTGTTTAGGTTGTAGTTTATGTTATTTAGCATTAATTATTTGGTTGACTGGGTTGCTTCACGGGTGTGGTGTGGCTGACTGGAAAGGTGGGATTTCACGGTACCGGAATTTTTTCGGAACCGTCAAATCTGTAGCCTTCGGTCTGTCGATATACGCTGGAGTAGTCCATGTTAACCGGGTATAGGAATAGGTATACTTATACATATATATTTACACAGTCTTTGGACTAGGTCTCCATTCAATCAGCGCTTGTACAGACTGGTGCTACAATCTACCCCCAACGACAGCGTTCTGGTCTGTGCGTCCGGCAGACCCGATCGAGCGTAAGAGGGGTACCTCTTGTATTCGTTGTACGTTTTTAGTTTTTTTTTTTACCACACTAAACACATTTGCGAGTATTGACTGCGTATCCGTGGAGTGGTGGTCGGGTTGGAGGGCAGATCTATTGGGTTCCAAAATAGACATAGGCGTGACCCAATAAGGGTCGGCTCCGGGAGCCGGCAGGCTGAGGGGTCCCCATCCGGACCGGGTCTGGCACCGACTTTGGCAATCGCCTCCCCACGAAACCCCACCCCTCCCCCCTCCCCCTCATCAAAATGATGAAAAGGCGCAAAGCCCCTGGCGAGGACGGTATAACTCGCCCTGCACTTACTAATCTCCCTCACTCAATCGTGTCAGCAATGACACGGAGGGTCGTTCCTTCTTTGTCGCGGTCGAGAACGCACGGTCCTCCGTGCGTGTAGTATCGGCTGGGGTCCCACAGGGTAGTGTTCTATCCTCTACGCCCTCTATACGAACGACATTCCCACGCTGAAGGACAACCTTCGAGCGTGAGAGGAGGACATGATGTTGGCACTGTTCGCTGACGACTCTGCCTACTTCGCGTCCTCCCCGTTCCCATCTGCAGCCATAATGAGGATGCAGAGGCTTCTGGACTTACTGCCCCAGTGGCTGGACCGTTGGAAAGTCGCGGTCAACGTGGGTAAGACTGCGGCGCTCCTCCACGGTCCGGTCCGTATCAGAGTCATCCCCAAGAAGCTCAATCTCCGAGGTGTGTCGAGTTTAAGCCGAAGGTCCGGTACCTCGGGTGCGACATCGACCGCTCACTGAGCATGGCGGCGCACGCCAGCCGAATCATCGGTTCGGCGAGCGCGGCCAGGTTCATGCTGCGGCCGGTGCTGGCGTTCGGGCTTCCGACCAGGATTAAGCTCGCTATTTACAAGACATATGTCCGCTCCCGCTTCACATACGCTGCTGCGGCCTGGTACCAAATACTGTCGCCGTCCCAGCGATCTAGGTTACAGGCCCAGCAGAATCTTTCCTTCCGTAATATCGTCGGGGCCGGGCGGTACGTCAGAAATGACGTTATCGCCCGGGACCTAGATGTGGAGTCGCTCATGGAGTTTGTAATTAGACTCGCACGTAACATGTACGAGCGAGCTGCAGCCCCCATGAGCACCTCCGCAATATAGCCCCGCTGCACGCCAGACCACCTGATGGTAAGGCCCTGCCGCGGGAACTATTGGTGCCCCCGACGATCGTTCGGAGTTAAAGATCCTCATCGGCTGTGAGGCCGGAGAGTACCTATGAGTGTCTCCGTCGGGATGGGTTTCACCTGTGACCCCACAACCGTTTACCGGTCTGGCGGGTTCCCCTTCAGGGGCCTGCACTAACGCTCCCCGGTAAGGAGCGCAAGCCTGCCCCTTCACGTAAAGGAGGGTGCTTATTACAGCCCCACCAAGGGGCCTGACGCCGAGCTGCAGCCCTCTTCCCCCGCCCCCGTGGATTGTGCGGAATTGTGGAGGAGAGGGCTCCATCGAGGCGAAAAGTCAAGTGGTCTACCCCCACCGTTGGGGTGGAGCCCCCTCCTCTTTCCCGGGGGCTGTCTTTTTTTCTCTTGCCTGGGGGCCGGAATGCGGTCTCCCCACCCACCCAGCAAGTCCAAGTGCGACGCCGTCGACGTTGGGAGCCGGATTGGACCTCCGTCGCAATTTTTGCCGCGGGGACTCAACTGGATTGATCGGCCTTCCTCCTATCCTATGTTAAGGTTGTCTAAAGATCATGTTTTATGTATTGATATTAGTATGTTATTATCTAATTCAATCTCAAAGCAATTGTTTTGACAATTGCTCTTCGATGATTGTTGTGATGAATTTTCGTTTGCTCCTTTTATTTCGTTTGCTCCTTTTATTGTTTTTGTTGTGTTTGTATTTGTTTTTGTGTTGTTGATATTTCTAAAGTTTAGGTCATTGTTATTGCCATATTGTCCTGTGAGTGTCCTGGAAGGCTGACCTCGCATCGCCGGCGGCGTCGCAAATCCATCTCCCCCATTCTGTAGCCCATAGTGTAGCCGTTAAGACCAACAGTGTGAAATTTACAAAAATAATTAAAGGAAAAAAAAAGAAAAAAAACTCATTACTGCGGGACCTAAATTTTTGGGTAACCAGGAATGGAACGGAGAAAAAACAATCTCACGGGGGACTGCGGACGGTCGGCGACGGCGGGTGGAGCGGCAGCGGCTGGGGAAGAAGAGGAAGAAGAGGGAAGAACGAAGATAACATCTGGGGGGGCGTCCATCCCTCCCCTACTTCATGGGGGTAGACCCGCCCCATCATCATCATCATCACTCCTACATTAACAAAAAAAAAAGATGTGTGGTGTCATGGGACACCGGACAGGAACGAATTTCCTTATTATAAAAATATTAATTTTAAGTTATATTCGAGGTATAAAGAAAATAATTATTCGGGTATACATTTTTTATTGATAATAATAAAAAAACTACATTATCAACTTCATTTTATTCACAATGATTTATCAAAAATAAATATAAATAATATACAAAGAAGCAGCTATTTATGTGAATAATAATAATGACCGTCAGCATGTAGACTATACATTAGACACTATAGCCATTAATTATACTAAGACTATACATAAATAATAAAAATCTTCTGCTGTTCGTTCCAACAAGGATTGCTGCCTGATTTTTTTAATCGCAAACAAAATCTTTGTACGCCGACCAAATGATTTCAATGCTGTTTTTTTGTGGCTCACCAAATTTTATAATTGCTAAACATTTCATTACTTCTTTATTATTATTGTGTGACATTCATATTATAATATAATACAGATGTTAGATGCATTAGTAACTGTTGCACTCATTCCATAATTTCAACAGTCTAAGTTGTTCCCATAAAAATTGATAGATGGCAGTAGTATTTCTAAAAATAAATAGTCGTGACAACTTTTCGTAAGAATTTTTTGTCTAGCCCCCTTTCACAACGAGCGATAAGGAACTTCGTTCCAAAAAAAAAAGGACTACCTATCGAACATACCATCACCTCATTATATTACTTCATTACCTTTAAAAAACGGCCAACAGGCAAAAACATCACCCCTGCCTCGTTAGGCAGGGAGACCAAGCCCGGGTAGAGGGGATTGCCCCGAGGCCCGATCCGTGCCTCCGCAAGGGGACACGATGACCCAACGACGTCAGAGCACAGTAGTTGAATAAGACGCATCAATGTAAAAATGTAATGTGTTTACTGGTGGTAGGACATCTTGTGATGTCATGCCACCCTGCCTATTTCTGCCGTGAAGCAGTTATGCGTTTCGGTTTGAAGGGTGGGGCAGCCGATGTAACTATACATGAGACCTTAGAACTTGTATCTCAAGGTGGGTGGCGCATTTACGTTGTGGATGTCTATGGGCTCCAGTAACCACTCAACATCAGGTGGGCTGTGAGCTCGTCCACCCATCTAAGCAATAAAAAAAAAAAAAATGTAAAATTGGTAGATTAAATCAGAGTGTGAATAAAGTTAGGCTGTGTAATTTATATGTCTGACACCCAAAATGTCAGAAGCGGGATAAATAAGGCTCTAGAAAACTACCCTTACTACGCCCACGGCTCGGTAAAACGTAAGTAATTTTTAATTATTTACATGTGATTCAGTGATATTGAAAATTCTGGTGGTTGTGATTTTTTTTTTTACTTACTATGAATTTTCTTTGTCTTGCTCCTCTTCATATTACAACCTGCGCTGAAGTCATTTTTTTTATGATTGCCTTGTAACCGTTCAGTGTAAGCGCACCGAACAATCGACCACGTAATGATCACATGTGCGATTGGGTTGAATAAACTATCAATGACGATTATAACTTTGACTTAATATTTAGTAAATCTATTAACCAGTACCAGTTTTATATTTCACGTTATTTGAAATAGTATTTATTACACGTAATTAAACTTAAAACAACAAATTCATTCTACCCACCTACCGTTTTATTTTCATGGTGACGAAAAAGTTACGGGTTTATCCGTTCTATTAGAATCTAACGACACTCGTTATTACATTACATAAATGTATTAGAATGCGTCAGGTCTTTGGAAATACATGATTTTCGATGAATGCACATACATAATAATTTCTTTTTTGTTCCCCGTTCCACGAGAAGAGTATTTATACAATTTCCTCTTCTAGCTTTTCAGAATGTACCCGATATTATGCCATTTATATATGCCAATAACCCTATTCTACTTTTTGCAATTATTAAACCCGGTTAAAGCAGTTTATAGTTATCATCATTCTAAGCTCCACAATGTGAGTTTCAGTTACGCTCATCATCTGTGACATGGAGGACGACACTAGCCGAGGGGAAGGGGCTAGTGCTCGGCTAGTATGAGGAAGTGGCTTAATCATAAAAAGAGCCCATGTGCTTAGTCGAGGGGAAGGACTAACACATAGGGAATGATCAAGGAGCATCCGAGGCTGAGGATGTAGGTCACATGTGCTTAGTCGAGGGGAAGGACTAACACAATGAGAGTGACCAAGGAGCATCCGAGGCTGAGGGTGTAGGTCAACAGGAAGGGATTAGGAGGATGAGCTCGAGGATAGAGCAAGGAGCATCCGAGGTTAGAGGATGTAGGGTCCATGTGCTTAGTCGAGGGGAAGGACTAACGCATGGGAGTGATCAAGGAGCATCCGAGGCTGAGGATGTAGGTCACATGTGCTTAGTCGAAGGGATGGACTAACACATGGGAGTGACCAAGGAACATCCGAGGCTGAGGGTGTAGGTCAACAGGAAAGTATTAGGAGGATGAGCTCGAGGATAGAGCAAGGAGCATCAGAGGTTGAGGATGTAGGCCAACAGAAAAGGATGAAAACGACAAGGACAGGACAGAGGAGACGGCGTGCGTCTTCCTCTTCAGGATCTAATATGGGGTCACCGCAGCTTAAGCGTGGTAAGGAGGACGATTGTTCGGATCAAATGTATTATTAGATAAATTATTTACCTCGACTGAGTGGAAACAAAAACTTATAGAATCTTTTCTCCAAAGCGAGGACTATGCTGAGTTACTGCATAATATGTTGGCAAAAATGGTTAAATACGGTGAGTCGCCAGAACACTACTATTATGCAAAAATAAACTTGTTAGATCATTGCAAAATTTATGGCAAGGAAGCGGTAGACTGTTTACTGTATGGGGCTAAAGATCGTGCCGTTAAAATCGGTGCTGCAACCTGAGCTAGTACTCAAAACAAATCAGTCCGGCATAAGCGGAACGAAATAGGTCACCCTAGCTTTAAATGTGCAAAACCTTTCATGAAGTGTACATACAACCTGCAGGAGGATTGATCTCAGGTGATTAACTAAAATAAAACTCCGTTTAATAAAGACGATAGTGAGGCCTAAGATACTCGTTCTTGTACATTATTTTTATCTAACTGTCGATGATCGCGCTAATGATAAATATAACTGGATATAAAGATTAACAACTCAGGGGTCAAGTGACATGTAGATTTTGGGAGTCCTTGCTCATTAATGAGACATAGTACCACTAAGGATTTGAACCTGAATTTTTATGTGAGTGAAGGTATACCGGTATTAAAAGGAATAGGAGGAAATGATATTGCCCTTTTGTTGTAGCTACTGTGAATGTAGAAGTTCAAGGGTTAAAAAAAAAACATTGGAATATATAGTGAAAGTTTATCTACATTACTCGGACATTCCTTTACAAAGAAGCCTGATATTAAAATGACTAAGACTTCGACTGAGATTGTACTTGAAAGACTCACGTGTAATTAAGACTCGTAGTGGAAAATGACACTAAAATAGATGGTAACGTTGTACGTCCCATCATTGATGCTAATAGGCAGGGAACACAGCCGAAGACAGGCAGGAATAGCGCAAGATAATACAGGAGAAAGTTGATAGAGGAGGCCATGACCCTCAGCACTAAGGATTATCGACGTAAGGAGGGGGATGAGCAGGAAAACGATAGCATCTACGTCCATGACTCGTTAATCTTTTTCCGGGGGACTGGATGAAGGGATCGATTGCAGTCCTGAGCTGGCAAAACAGCAACGTGAGGAGCTGCAAGGGTTATTGCTTCAGTATAGCGATTGCTTCTCAAGTGGGCTCAGGGACATTTTTTGGTGGCCCATGAGGGGAAAGAACTAGCACGATCCAGTTCTACGAACAATCCAGCTAAGTCAAGCTAAGTGAAAACTATATAATAAATCAGAAAATCAGTATATTCAGTCAATAATAGTCAAGATAATTATTCGACGTGTTCGGCACGGCAACATCGCATCGCGGCGCCCTCAAGAACGAAGCGGTCAAACCGGCATGCGGCCGGCGCCCGGCTCAAGTCACCGACGCATCGGCGCAAGTACATCAGTGAATCAGTGTCATATGTAATACGTAACGTAGTTAATAATATTTTCTAATTATAATATCAGTAATTTATCGTGTACTTTGTAATTCAGTTTAGGTACACTGTAGTGCATTTGTCAGTTAACGATAGAATAGTTAGTTAGTGTAAGTCAGTAAATAATAAGTCATATCAATACATAATATTATTCATTATTACTAGATCAGATGTCTTCTAAGGGGCTATTGAAGGCTAAGGCTCAGTTTCAGTCGCGTTACGCGATATTGACTAACGCGTTTAAATCAGTTCAAGATGTCAACCCTTCATCAGCCACAGCCGCTGCCCAGCGGCAGTTCAGTACGTACTTCCCTCACATGTTGGAGTGTTACGAGGTAATTATTACCAACAAAGCGGAGTTCGACGAGCCCGAGTTTGCGGCGGAGCTAGAGGCTATTCAAACTCAGTTCAGCGAGGTGAGTGCAACGTCACTTAAAATAGACGAATTAATGCTTTCACCAGCCTCACCGACGCGTTCACCCGTTTCAGACCAGCTGAAGATCCAGCTGCAGGTCCAGCTGCCAGCCATTAAGTTGCCTGAGTTCAGTGGCCATAGCCTAGAATGGCTTAATTTCAGAGACTTGTTTCAGTCGTTGGTGGACAGTCAGCCAACATTATCAGAATCAGAGAAACATGATTACCTCCGGACCTCACTCCGAGATGAGGCGTTGATGGTAATTGGTCATCTGCCCATGGACGGCAGCATTATCAGGGTGTCTGGCAATTACTTAAGGCCAGGAATGACAACTCACGGGCGCTCACAGATCACTCTTATTATATCCCATTGCTAGATCTTTATGAGAATTTAAGAATTCCCACAAAACTTCCAATTGTTCATAAGAAACTCTTCGGGTTACAGACATTGTTACGAATTTTGAAACGTATTTTAAGACGGTCACAAAGCGAATGGTTTATGCAATGAGCGA